TTTGTTTTGACATATTTACGCTTGATGTAGATGTGGATACACTTTTATTTCGATCGACAACTCCTTTTAATTTGATTGGAAATAATATCTTATTAGAAACGGTTAAATATTAAATAATCTTGTAACTTTTTAAATAGTATATGAATACTAATAATGATAAATAGATAATATAAAAAACTATGGATGATAGAATTTTTATTTTACAGATTTAAAAGAGAGAAAAAAAAAGTGTATAAGCAATCAAGTATGTTACCGTTTGAATTCAATCTGATGTTTGGTAACCGTGATTGAAAACTGTTATCGGAAATATCCATGACTGGTAAAAGAAGATTGAAGGTATACATTATTAAATGTGATACAATAAAAATATATATTATAAAATAAAATGGTAGTATAAATGAGTTACCATTTGAAATGTTCGATAACGGAGTTCTAACATTTAGATGTGAAGGAGAAGTTTGGAAATATGATTTTTTGAAACATTGACACTTGATGTAGATGCGGATAGGTTTTTATTTGGATGCACAACTCCTTTGAATTTGGCTGCAAAAAAAAAATTGTGATAACAAATGGATAAATTTGAAATAATAATGTAACTCCCGAAAATATTCTATGAATATTAATATACAAAAGACATAATACAAAAAAATGAGCATGTGAGAAAATTGAATTTAGATATTTAAATTTAAATTAATTTAAATACAAAATAAAGAAGAAAAGTGTATAACGAATTAAGTAAATTATCATTTTCATTTATTTTAAAAAGATGTGATGTTGATGTAGTTGTATGGATTCATTCGGTCGAACCTTTTTTTTTATTGTCCAAGTATAATTTTCTTATTCTTCTTTTCTCTGTAGCCTGAACATGATAGATATTCCTATTTGAAGCTGCATAATCAAATATACACACATGAAATAGTTATAATTCAGATTAAAAACATTGATAAAGAAAGTCGTAAAATATATAATGAACGTACCGTTATCACCAGGGTTAGTAACATTTGTAGAAGTTGGAATTTGACTGACTGATGTAGTGTACAAATGCAATTGATTTGTATTATCCAGATAGAAATTATTTAATTTTATCTTCTTATTAGTCTTAAAGGAGTCCATGTTAGTAGTTGCTATCTGAAATGGAACAAAATATATAACTTTATACAATAGTTATTATCATTTGTGAATAGGGCATTTAATTAGTGGGTTTAGATATGTAATTTTATTCATCTGTCCATTGTTTGAATTGCTAATTTTGTTATCTTGGATTTGGCAACAACGTCATCAGTTTCGGAAAGACTGATATTTCATATCAATACAAAATGAAGCAAATGACCACAAAAGTTTATGTTATGCATGCCGATTAATAATTGACACTCACTTGAATACATCTAACGTTGTTACATTATATTAACTATAAATGGACGTTACTTTTTAAGCTTATTTAATTTTTGTTCACAATAGAACTCTTGAAATGTTCGAATGCAAATACAAAATTAAAATATGAATTTGATTTTTTTTGGTTTGTGGGTATGCAATTATTTTTTTAGTAATTATTCACATCATTAATTTATTTAAACATATTTTATTATAACTTTTTGTTTTTGTCTAAATAAAACTTATATATTATTAGTTTAATAATTTTTTATAAATCTTTTACCCGTGGTTTCCACGGATTGTAACCTAGCTTAAAATAAAAAAAAATGTTGTCGATTGAACTTACGTATGACATGAAATACTAAAGTACAATGGCTTTATATGTAATGTTTCCGAATTTTGTTGCAGATATAATTTTTTTTGTACTGTATTGTTGGATTACATTTTTCTTTCATTATGTTATTTTACTTTGTAACTATTGGAACTAATGTTTATTATGTTATAAAAAGATAAGCATTGTTGGAAAAGATACTATTAGGGAGGATGATTTTGATTAACACAGCAATCGAGAATCATGGCCGTACATTTACAAAACCAGAACCAAAATTGATAATAAGAAACTTACAGAATTACTGTCGTTAATGTCCTTAATCTAGCATATAACGAAATTTGATTGAAGCATATGAAGTTCAGAAAAAACAAAAAACCGAGAATTGGAAAAAAATAAGAAACTTACAGAACGATTGAAGTAGCCGATTAAAGAATGATTCTTGATTGCTGGAACAATATGCAGTAAAGAATGATTGTTATTCATATGTTTCAATTATATATTGAACATAATAATGAAAATTGATCTTGATATTGATACCAAGGGTAAATACGGAATTTTACAAATGTAGAACAACAAATTGAGTATACAAACATAGCTAAAAAATGCAGAAAATCGAATTTTCAATATAGAACAACAAAGATAAATTTGGCCTTTACGATTTAAAAGCCGTATAATATGATCAAATATAAATAAAGGGTAAAAAGGGTATTTTAGGAATATAAAAGTAAGTATCAACAGCAGCAAAGGACATTGAGAAACAGGGCTTACAAAAAATAAACATTAAATTAAAAAAATTGCAGGCCGTGGTAGGGGTATATTAGTCCAATTTGCTCTTCTTCATAGTTAAAGAATGCAGAAAATCGAAATTGGAACTACAAAGATAATAGCAATCCATTCAAACAGTACAATTAGACTGGTTTTGATTTTTTAATTGGTTTGATTGGTTTTGATATATTTGGTTCTTCTGAACAATTAGACTGGTTTTGATTTTTTAATTGGTGCTAGTGTAGCATTGTTCTTCATAATAGTTGGTTGCTAGAAGAGTTCATAATAACATTGGTTTTGAACATAAAATTATGATTGTTTTAATCCTTTCCAACATCAGAAATCACATAATAGATCTTTTTGAATTGTTTGATTGGTTATAAATATAAAAATCTCCTTAGATGTGAAAACTTATTACTGTATATATTTGTTTGGGTTTTATTTTTTTCTTGTCAGATCACTTTCTTTTAAAAATTCAAAACTTATCTGCTCTCATAATTTGCAACCTGAATTGAGAACTTATATCAGGTTGTATCTTTCTTAGCTCGAGTATTATTTTATTCAATATATTTTCTAAAATTATAGTATGTGTTTGACACACAATATCATATATGAGCATTGTTATTCCTTTCGCTTATGGGCATAACAATTAAAAAAATTGCAGGCCGTGGTAGGGGTATATTAGTCCAATTTGCTCTTCTTCATAGTTAAAGAATGCAGAAAATCGAAATTGGAAGTACAAAGATAATAGCAATCCATTCAAACAGTACATGTGATCAATGTCTGTGATGATTAACACAGACATACGTAAGACAAGGTTATTTTTACACATACACATACACATTGATGATCAATTTAGTGGATCGAATAAAGAATTTAAGATAGAAAATAATTAATAAACAACTTCTGAATCAAAGATAAATAGAAACTTTGATTAACAAATTCAATGAGAAGCAAAATTGAAGTCGCAGAAGAAGAAAAGAATTTTCAATTATACGATTAACACAAACATTGAGAAGCAATCATATATAATCATGAGAAACTCACCGAAGGATTGAAGTTGCTGATTGAATATTCGAAATTAAGAAGCAGAATTAAGATGCAGAGACCGTCCTAGGGATTGAATTATCTAATTGAAACGGAATATGATTGATATAGTATGTTATGCGCATAATAATTGATTGATATGCATACCATTTTTAGATGCTCTTAATCGGGCATGTAACGGAATTGATTTAATGTATACAGCAGCTATTCCATATTCAAATTTCAAATTACAAAATATCGATATTTCGATTATTAATCAAATCAAATCAAAGATTGTAATAGTACGTGAAACCAATCAGGGGTAAAAATGAGATTTAACATTGACAGGAACGTGAATTTTTGGTAGGACAGTAGTCAAAAATTCAAACAATCGTTTTATTTATTAATTTATTTATGCTTCCAAAGGACAATGTTAAGGCATACCAATAATGATAACTTTGATCTGTATATGATTCCTTTGTTTGAAAGAAAACTTCAATTTAGTAATATACCAAATGTATCCTTATTAGAAAGAGGCCGTTAAGTTGTATTTGTAAAATTTAGTAAAAATAGGTAAAAATGTTAGGAAAATAAGTCAAAATTCTGAAATTGTTAACTGTATATTAAAAAAATATGGATGTAAAATTTTGCAATAGTAATGGATTTAAACAATGATAAAACATAACCTAAACAGGAAAATCAGAAAAATAGGAACCAAGTAAGATGCTAAATTTGACAGAAAACAAAAGTTAAATGCTATAAACAGCCATAAAACAGAAAGTGCAAAGTGTGATTCAAATTTATATAGCTATTTATAGAAATTTGACAGAAAATGAAATGCTAACTGTTTTGTTATAATTACTTGTTTGAAAGAAGCATGTTATAACAGGTAAATAACTGAAAACCAAAATTCTATATTATGGTAGACAAAGGGTGTTAGGAATTGTAAGTAAAGTTTACTCGTTAATGCTTGCTGCCATAATTACTTGTTTGAAAGAAGCATGTTATAACAGGTAAATAAGTGAAAACTAAAATAACGAAAATTGATCTTGATCTTGATACCAAGGGTAAATACGGAATTTTACAAATGTATAACAACAAATTGAGTATACAAACATAGCCAAAAAATGCAGAAAATCGAAATTGAATATAGAACAACAAAGATAAATTTGGCCTTTACGATTAAAAAGCCGTATAATATGATCAAATATAAAAATAAAGTATCTGCCAGTTATAATAACATACCAAATACCAAAAGAGCAACATACGAATTCAATTCATATTACAAGCCAATTGCAATTTGACTTTCAAAAAAACAAAACCAGCTCTTCTTTCTTCAAAGGAATACTCAATAACCTCTTCAGGAACAATCTCCTTTATCAAAACAGGGGCAGGTGTAACAGCTGTTTGCATCGCAATAGAACCCGTAGTATATGGGGTGGAGGGTAAAATCGGAATTAAATTTGTTTTTGGAGTTCTATTTGTATTTTCATCCTGTAAACCAAATATTGTAGTTTTAGTAGGGGTAGTAAATGGCGACATATTGTTATTGTTATTTTGAAATGTTTTTTGTAGGATGTCGTGTTTTTCTCAGCTTCTGTTGTGACATTAGGGTAGTTTTGGAAGAAATGGAGAAAAGGCTTGCGGAATCCATCGATTTTTTTGGTAGGACGCGGAAGTAGTAGGGTAGTTTTGGAATTGATATCCGGTTTAGGAGTTGCATGAGCTAATGATAATCTTCTGTTGCTTGTAGTATTAATTTATGGAATTTAAATGATTGAAATTTTAGAGCTGATCAAAAGAATTGAAAAAGGCAAAATTGACATCTGATGCATTGTTTATTCTGTTGCGTGTTCAATATTATGAGAAATCTCATTTGACAGCTTGATTACAATCTTTTTTTAATACAATACCTCAAATAATATCAAAGCACATTCCCAAGAATGCATGCACCAATATACCATTTTATTGTGAAAATTATGAATATGTCCATGTTTAAAAAATGATCATTATTTTGAACAGGAATTTATTGAATGTATTCAAATTTGAGACATCTTTTTTATAAAGCAAATATCTGATATCTTATAACACGAAATTGAAAAGTAGAATGTTATTGAATGTAATTTTTTTTATTTTTATTGCAAATATATTGGTAAAAAAATCTGAATGTGATAGATGAACCTAGAAACAACACATGTTTTAGAGTTATGTTGGTTGTTACTGGTGGGCATTTAGTTGGTTGTGTATTTGATGGAAACTCCATTGTTGCCCATAAATTATTCCAGAGGTATGTACTTTATTTATGTTATCACTTTAATTTCATCAGAAAAATTATTTATGAGGTTAAAATGAATACATCCTTGCCCAGAACAAAAAATATGCCTTATTAGTATCTATGATTGTAAATACAAGTAATGTAATTTAGTTGTATGTAATATACTTATTTGAATATGCTTGAAACAAACTAATACTTATCAAGACCACCATCGTTAAATAATTAGTATATTTCTGATAAGACTCTTTAGAAACATATTTATTTGCTTATTTTACACATAAATACACAAACATATATGCCACACATTTATTAAAAGAAGATTAGTCTAATTACAATGATAACCATAAAATGATAATCGTATTAAAATATAGAATACCAGCGAAAATAAAGCAAGAAGTATCAATGTTTGAACAGTGGACACCACAAAGAGCAATACTGTGAAAGAGAATCCAAAAAAAATCCAAATTCAAGAACATTGTTGATTAAAAAAGGACAATCTCAAATTACTTTTCAAGCTTTGGTATTAATAGACCTGTGTTGCCATCAACTTTGGAATTCAATCGAGGGACCTTGGTGGATGAATTCACATTATCATAATCATCAACATCAATGGTATCTCCAACATTTCGTTTTTTTACTGTTGTTGGGGAATTATACTTGAACGGACTTGTAGCTTCAAATTTGTCAGGCAATGTTGGGGTCAAATTATCACCTGTTTGCGATATCGCATCCTTAAAAAAAATGTTGTAAATAGGTTTAGTAATAAAATATTAACAAAAAGTAATCTTTTTAATAGATTATATAAAATTAAATAATGTAAATTTATAATATAACCTTTAAGGACTTTGTTTCTTGAGATACTTCATGAGATGCGATTTCTGTATCATCAGCATTTGCAGGACTACCTGCCTGAATCAGAAATTTAAATATTTATATAATTTGTGGGACATAGCTCTAAATCAATATAGATTTACAATTTATTAGTGAAGATCATTAAAAAAATATGCATCATAAAAAGTAATATTAAAAAAACAAATAAAAATAATATATAAATACCTCGACAGCTAACTTTTTTTCCAAAGCATCGATAACGTTACTATCAACCGTATAGCCAAGTATCCCAAACCGATTGTAGTTATTGGATACATTAAAACTATTAACATCTATCTTAAAAGCCATCTTTTTATGCTCCAAACATTTGAGGTCATAAGGATATAATCTTGGATTATCCCCAGCCTGGAATAAATGTGTTATATAATATATTTATGTTTAAAAGCACATTAAAGTAAAGAAAATACAACAAATAACAGCAATTAAGAAAACAAAAATTAAAATTATGTTATACCTGTTTGATTTTATCTATAAGATCACGTGCGCGTTTTTTGACGATTCTATAAGCATCTCTATCGAAGAGAGTTAGAGTGATTGTTCCAGAATCATCTTGCACACGAATAGGTATTTTATACCTATAAAAAATTCCTAGATAAATAAACATTAAATATGTTTAATGGTTAATAATGTAGTTAAGTTGTTCTGTTGATATTTTCTTAAATGTAAAAAAACCTTGGAACAGAAGAGATCGTCTTATTTTTACAATTATCACCATTGCATTTTAAAACGACACTTGCATCACCACTATCTGCACCACTGAACAAATCTTCTGTTTGAACTTTCTTTCTACAGTTTGTACACCCATCATAATACCAATCAATATCTTGGCGAATACCATAAATGGTCCCGACAATGATATATTGGCCGACCTAAAATAAAATCAAAACGTTCATAAAAAACATTATAATTTTATTATCTGTTAAATAGAAAACAATATGACATCAATACAGATAAAATATTCACATACCTCTTGTGGTTCTATCAAATCGACAACATTTTTAACTTTGTAATTATTCAAAAAGTCATCAGATTCCGAATATGATTTAGAGCTTTCAACAGTCAAAGAAGCTGAAGGGTTTTTAATTTAGGAGTTTGAAAATAAAATTATAAAATTATTGAACAGAAACAACAAAACGATGAATTATTAAAATGTACAGTTACCTATCTGTGAATGTAACAATTTCGGGAAGATTAGCATTTATGAACATCCGTGTTTGTTCAAAATAACTGTTCACAGAAGGTGTTGCTGATGAAACAAAATAAAATAGTAAATAGAATGAGTAATATAAAAGACTAAAATAAGGTTGATTGGTATAAAAAATTTACCGTTATAGACATTAATTCTTGCACATTGCAAAAGGACAATCACACGATCAACTTCTTTATGAGCTTCAAGATAAGAAATTAACTGGTATGCAATATCTCCAAACAACGTAACGTTAACCTGCAAACCTCTGCAAAAATAATAATGGTTAAATGAATATATAATACTAAAATTCTACATGCAAGTTGTAAAGTAATGAATGTAATATATAAGATATAAGATATAAGATATAATATAAAAAAAGTTTTGGTTACTCTAAGTTTCTTATTTGTAAAGGCAGCCTATGTAGAGATTTGCTGACATCACGGGAATCAAGCTTTCCTAATGAAACAACTTCACCAATAATATCTACAAAATGATAATACAGAATGTCAAAATGATGTGAATTTAAAGAATTAAATATAATATACAATCAATAAGGAGGGAAATTACCAATTGATTCATTAGATGTAGCTGTTGCAGAGATAATTGTTTCAAAAGAAACAAAAGAAAATCCATATTTGTTTTGGATTGAAAGTGTAGACACTCGTTAACAGTTGTTCTTCCATGGAAATTTAACTTGGAGGTTACATCACTTATTTTAAAAGTGTATTTGTTAGGAGCGATAGTGGGGGACCGGATGTAAACAGCTTGATCTTCTTTCAATTTGGACTCAAACCTTTGAAAATCTCTTGGATACACACTTGCTCGGATTTTTGTACACTATTCACATAGGGTAAGAATATTATATAATGTTAAAAATGGAATTTTTAATAAATATAAATTGGTCAACATTGAAGATAACATCTTCAATGATTGAGTTTGAATAATATTATTGGAATGATCAAATAAAAAAATGGTTATGAATAATGCTATTAAAATAGTAGATTTTACCATTTCATCCATGAGTATCATCTCAATTGATCTGACAATAGTGGGGTTGCCATCTGAAAACGATTTCCACAGCCGGATGATAGACACTTTTAGTGTGTAATCATCCTTCATATTGTCCAAGTCTCTAATGAAAGTGATCTTTCTTTCTGCCATTGTCACTATAACAGAAAAATACACAAAATAATTACAATTATGTGTATGGAGTACTAATAATATAAGAACAAACTGAATAATACAATATGGTTATATTGAAACATTCATACAAGGAAAACAAATTCTGAAAGAAACATGCTAACACAAACTATATACCCCTATACAACATTCATAATTAAAAATAATAATGATAACTTTGATCTGTATATGATTCCTTTGTTTGAAAGAAAACTTCAATTTAGTAATATACCAAATGTATCCTTATTAGAAAGAGGTCGTTAAGTTGGATTTGTAAAATTTAGTAAAAATAGGTAAAAATGTTAGGAAAATAAGTCAAAATTCTGAAATTGTTAACTGTATATTAAAAAAATATGGATGTAAAATTTTGCAATAGTAATGGATTTAAACAATGATAAAACATAACCTAAATAGGAAAATCAGAAAAATAGGAACCAAGTAAGATGCTAAATTTGACAGAAAACAAAAGTTAAATGCTATAAACAGCCATAAAACAGAAAGTGCAAAGTGTGATTCAAAATTTATATAGCTATTTTATAGAAATTTGACAGAAAATGAAATGCTAACTGTTTTGTTATAATTACTTGTTTGAAAGAAGCATGTTATAACAGGTAACTAACTGAAAACTAAAATTCTATATTATGGTAGACAAAGGGTGTTAATGGAATTGTAAGTACAGTTTACTGTCGTTAATGCTTGCTGCCATAATTACTTGTTTGAAAGAAGCATGTTATAACAGGTAAATAAGTGAAAACTAAAATAACGAAAATTGATCTTGATCTTGATACCAAGGGTAAATACGGAATTTTACAAATGTATAACAACAAATTGAGTATACAAACATCGCCAAAAAAATGCAGAAAAACGAAATTGAATATAGAACAACAAAGATAAATTTGGCCTTTACGATTAAAAAGCCGTATAATATGATCAAATATAAATAAAGGGTAAAAAGGGTATTTTAGCAATATAAAAGTAAGTATCAACAGCAGCAAAGGACATTGAGAAACAGGGCTTACATAAAATAAAAATTAAATTCAAAAAATTGCAAGTCGTGGTAGGGGTATATTAGTCCAATTTGCTCTTCTTCATAGTTAAAGAATGCAGAAAATCGAAATTGGAAGTACAAATATAATAACAATCCATTCAAACAGTACATGTCATCAATGTCTGTGATGATTAACACAGACATACATAACAGAAGCTTATTTTTACACATACACATACACATTGATGATCAATTTAGTGGATCGAATAAAGAATTTAAGATAGAAAATAATTAATAAACAACTTCTGAATCAAAGATAAATAGAAACCTTGATTAACAAATTCAATGAGAAGCAAAATTGAAGTCGCAGAAGAAGAAAAGAATTTTCAATTATACGATTAACACAAACATTGAGAAGCAATCATATATAATCATGAGAAACTCACCGAAGGATTGAAGTTGCTGATTGAATATTCGAAATTAAGAAGCAGAATTGAGATGCAGAGACTGTCCTAGGGATTGAATTATGTAATTGAAGCGGAATATGATTGATATAGTATGTTATGCGCATAATAATTGATTGATATGCATACCATTTTTAGATGCTCTTAATCGGGCATGTAACGGAATTGATTTAATGTATACAGCAGTTATTCCATATTCAAATTTCAAATTACAAAATATCGATATTTCCAGATTCAATATTCCAGAGATTTGGATACAATATCATTATTTCCATCCATATTCAATATGTAATGCTACGTGAAATTCCATATTCCATATATTCCATATATAATCTAATCTAATTCCATTCCATACCTAATTACCTATTATCTATTACCTAATTAACTAATGATACGTGAAAGGATGCTGAAGGGGTAATAGAGTAATTTAACATAGGGTGAAAAATGGATGATTGTAATGACACGTGTCCAGATGGTTTTGTTTATTAGATAGGGAGATTAGAAAAATATTAATAAACTAAAGGGAAAATGACTTAACAGCCCAATAAAATTTCCAAAACATTCAAAAAATATCAATTATGTTTTGTCTGTTCAAAAAACCCAACGAATATAACTTTTTGTCTAAAAAGTCCAACAAAGTTCCAAACCGTTCAAAAAATCCCAATTTAGTTTTGTTTAAGTTCATTGGGTTTTGTTTTGAACAGTCAAAACATGATTGAAGTTTTTTAAACGTTTTGGAAACTTTGTTGGTCTAACAAGTCGTTTCCCCGATATGGTAATAAGTCACGCCATCTATTTCTCTTATTTGATTTTCAGGAAAGTGTAACTTAGTTGGGCTTTTTAGACAAAATGATAAGTTCGTTGGGTTTTTTTGGACAGACAAAACATGATTGGAGTTTTTTGAACAGTTTGAAAACTTCGTTGGGCTTGTAAATCATTTTCCCTAAACTAAATATGCCTAAATTCAAAGTTGAATGACCATTTTTTATTATGAAATGTTTAATACTATAGTTAATGAATAGTATAATTAATTAATAGACAAAGCTGGCAATTTGGTTTTTATGGTCTGTAAAAAGTTATGAATAAAATCCAAAAAATTTTCAACTTATATGGAAGATCCAAAATTAAGAGTTTCTTACTTTCTTGTGAACTTTGATTCCAACATTAGAAATTTTTTATGAATTTGACCCATGATGGACTTGAAATGATAGTTTTACCCTTTTAGTTTCTATTTTTTATATATTTTTTTTAATACTTATTTAAATAAAAATAAAAGACAAATAATTAGACCCACGCCCCACTGTTCCATGCCCTTTTCTCTTTTCGTAACCTAACCCATCTTGAAAAAACCTAAACCGATGCTTAAAAGTTGTGACAACCCAAGTGTTCCCGTTACATTTTCCCTATTACCATTAACGGAATATTCCACTGTATAAAAGTTCTGTTACTTAGAGGGCGAGAGGGCGTCAATTTAGTAAAGATTCCATTTGGTTGCAATAAGCATGCAGTTAAGTCGTGATGAAAGGAAATAAAACACATAACACATATTTCCATTTAATTGGAAATGTTAAGTTTTATAATTACGACCACTAAATCGGGTGCGACCAAAAGTCCCGTTTAACGGCAGTATCGGTTAGAATTCCACTGTGTCCCGACTCAAAACACTATGTAAGAGTGAGTGGAGTCCATTGGAGACTTTTTACACACTCTCTCTAGACTCGTTTTAGCCCCGAATCCGCAACCAAACGCTTCCAAATTGTAAGTCCGCTTACCCTAGCTTATTCTAAACATATTGATTGGTGTTTATAGCCCAAAAATAGGACTTAGTTGCAATGGAAAAGGAGTTTACGGCCTAAGCACCTCCTTAGGCCGTAAACACCCAAAACAAGGTCAAAATGACCCAAACTTGTCCCTAATAGCTTGGAAATAAATAGGGGAATTAGCCTAGGGGTGTTTAAACACAAAAATGCATGGATTTAGGACTCAAAGAAGAGTTTACGGCCCAAGCACATGCTTAGGTCGTAAACTCCCCAAGTCATGGTCCCAAATGCACTCCAAACTCATCCTAGGGCTTCATACATAATTTAGGAACTTATCCTCTTGAGTTTAGACCCTTGAAACACTCCAAAATGAATTATTAAAGGGAGTTTACGGCTAGACAAGGGTCAAGACCGTAAACACCCTTAAACATGCCCAAAATAATTGTTTTGTCCCCCAAATAGCCTCATACATTTACCATGAAAAACTAGGAGGGGATTTAAAGGCTTAAACACAAGGAAATGAGGCATGACTTGGAGTTTACGGCCCAAGAATTTATCTAGGCCGTAAACTCCCCAAAACCCACTCAAATGATGGTTTTAATCCTCCAAAATAACATCATACTTCATTAGAAATCACTAGAAAGGCATTAGGGGCTTTAAACTTCCCAAAACTCTAAGGATTAGAGTTTACAGCCGTAAACTCCTTTAGGAGTGGTCCCTTGGCTGTAAACTCATAGATCATGCCCTTAGAGGCCTCAAACCCACTCATGCCTTTTGGGAAAAGTGCTTAGAATAAATCAACGAGCAAGCTAGAAGCATAAAACACCCAAGAATATGACCTTGGGAGTTTACGGCCGTAAACTCCCTTGAGTTAGGCCGTAAACTCCAAATTGGTCCATGTTAATGCTTTATACCCATTCACATACTTGATATTTAAGTTTAGCAAAGTTCCACAACTGATAGGAGACCCTTAGCACCCTTAAACGCTACCCGGGACACCCAAACACTTAGCCAAAGTGTTTTCCGCTCCTTTGAGTGTGTATATTTGTTTAATTAGTATTAAATATACTAATTGTATGTGAACATATGATATCATATGTTAAATAGGTCATTGAGTGTGTTCGAGTCCTTAGGTGGCACCGAACGCCCAAACAACACTCTCGTCGGACCTACTTACACCAGGTGAGTTCATACCCCTGAATGAACCTTTTTAAATGCTTTTAAATGTTTTTATAGGGGGGATTACAAGTTAAACATGCCAGTTATCATATCAATCACATGTGATTGATAACACGCATGCACAAGATTTTGCCACTGTACACTGTTTTTACCGAGTAGAACGCTATAACGCTTTTCAATTGTTTTAAAACTCTTACTTATACCTATTTAACTAAATTCATTCTAAACTGGTTTGTGAAGGATTTCCTGAGATTTTCAAACATATTTTACAAAAGAATACAACTTGTGAAATTTCCTGTTCATAAAGGCTTTTCATTAAAGATTCCCTTTTGACGTATATTTTTACTTGAAATTTATGCTGATTCGCTTATACTTATTTCATACTCCTACTCTGTAATGCTTCCACCCATACTGATAGACGCTTATACCTATCCACACTCTTACTTAGAAATACAAATCTACTTCACTTATACTTGATATCGACTTTACTTCACTTATACTTGAAACGCCCTCGTTTCAGTTATTGTCGTCTCTGCTTCGTGATACGCTATAACCTATTCGACACTCCTGCTTCACTTGCAACCGTTTTTACTTCACTTGTATAGACGCTACTACTTCACAAGGATCACTTATACTTGATTTACACACCTAGCTGTAGTTAGATGTATGTCTGTGCTTATATAGATACATATAAGTAACGATTGAAAGACTTAGGAAGGCTCGTCCGCCCTATTTCCTTTTCTTCGTTTAGATGTGGTCTGGTGGGATCGGGTGGC